GTGGTTTAATGATATGTTCTGACCACCAGTGTAGATCTCAGTCGTAGCGATATCAGGAAAGCTGTAAAAATGGGATACAGAAAATTCTGGAAGGTTTAGTACAAGGTCAAAGGTTCCCTATATGAGTGAACCACTTTAAAGACTTAGTGACCATGGCATATTTGAACTGGTATTGACCAGAGCATCTTGATAGGTGTAGGTAGATGGGTGGATATGGGAACAGAGTGGTTAAATAGGGAACCTATAAGTGGGTTCCAGGTATAGCAGTTAGTGTAGAATCTTTGGGCGAACTACTTAAATTAGACAATAACTAAAGTTGTATAAGTGACTAGTTATACACTCTTTCCATGGTTGCCCCTTGTGGTTGTAATGAACCATTAGCTGAATGTACTATCAATAAAATCCTGGATTGCAAGTACTTACTTTAATATTTAAAAAAAAAATGATTGGTTCAAACTAATCTGGTCAGATGAATCAAGGTTCTAAATTTTTGAGTCAGATGATAAGCAATATTATTTGATACCTTACTATGATCAGGACTATCAAATAACTTCAGTTATTTGATAATATATTGTACATAAAATAGTCACTATAATTGACTTTAAAACATTATTAAAAAATTTTATATACAAATCAACCAATAAATTTATTTATTTATTTTTTATGTTATTACATTGTAATTATATAAATTAATGCTTTTTATGTTTTTTAATAATCTTTACATACTTTGCATTAATATTATAGTAATTTTTAATGACTATATTACTATTTTTTAACTCCAGCACTTGGTTACAAACTTGGTCACAAACTTGGTCACAAGCTTGGTCACAAACTTGGTTACAAACTTGGTCACAAACTTGGTCATTTGTTCTTTTCAAAATCTCTGGTCCTGAAAGCAATTGATCTATATATATTAGTCCTGAATACGATGGCCCTGATGTTTCTAAATGTGATGGTTCTGATATTTCTGAATGCAATGGTTCTAATAGTCTTGAACAAGATGGTCCCAAATGTGTTAGTTCTGGATGTAGTGGTTCTGAATATGATTGTCTTGAATATGATGAGAAGTTTATTTTTGATGAATCTTTTAAAGGTGACCAAAATGGAGCAAAGACTAAAGACCAAGATGATACTAGTAAATTTGTTCATTTTCTTGAAACCTTCTTGTAATTATTGCTAGCTATTGCTTGTTCTTGAAAATTGGTTGAGATTTCATTATGTTCATTTGGAACTTGTTTTTATAAATTGGTTAAGGTTTCATTATATTTATTTGAATCTTGTTCATACAAGTTATTTGGTTTCTAATAAAAAAACTTGAGACAAATATAAATGAATTTTTTTTAAATAAATAAAAAAACTTCATTTCTAAATTATGTAAAGGTACTAATCCAACATTATTAATCAATAATGATAATGCATCTTCTCTTTGTTGATCTGATGGCCATGCATAAATGTGATACAATGATTCACTTCTGTGTTCAGTTAAGGACATTGTTGTAGTTATTGGTACTCTTTTCTAGAATAAAAATGTAATTGATGTTGAATGTTCAGAATAATTAACAATATTATGACTATTAATATCAATTTCAACTGCAATGCAAATGTCTTTCATTAAAAATCTATATGCATTTTCACCTAATTGAATATCATAAAACCAAGGGTTTTGTGTAAGATCTATATAGTAAAAAAAAAATTATAAAAAAAATAAAATATTAAAAATGTAATAAAATATAATGTAACTTTTATCTTTTGTTTCTTTATTAATACGTAAATAAAAAAATTCACAACTTGAATCCAATGGTCTTTTAGAAAAATAAAATTTAAAACCATGCACAGGTCCTTGATAACCATTTATATTAGGTGGTACAGGAATAATTAAAACATCAGAATTTCCATTAATGTCTTTTTGATCATTTTTTTGATAATTCTTTATGAAATGAATGCCTTCATTAGAAGTAAAAGTAAACTGCTTAATTGAAATTTTATAATGTTTACCACCATGAGGTTAAAATAAAAGACAGCACTACATAAAATTTCTATAAAGAAGCCCTTGTGGTGTATTAATAGAAACCTTCTCATGTTGAAAAATCTTTTTTAATTCATCATCTGTCAAATGGTCATGATGTCATGAAATGATATCTTTTTTTTTAATTGTTTTAATTTTCCATTTAATACATCATAGAGTCATGCAAATTTTTGCTAATTTTCTAAATTAAACTTCATAGTTCTACGAGGGTGCTTTAAAATATATACACTCAACAACCTAATACAATTCATTAATAATGATAATGAATATTCTTGTTGTGTACGAATTGTACAAATCTCAAGGATAAATTATGTTATCTCATGCTCTAACTGGTCCTTATCTGTAATAGATTCAACTCCATAATCATAACCACATCAGATCACCAGGCTTCTAAAATTCTAACCCACTTTGCTGTTGCATTTTGTGTATTTGCAGGGATCATAGCATTAATAATTTCATTAATTTCATCACTTGTTGGCTTGTGATATTTGGTTTATTAATGTTTGTCATTTTTTTTTAGTATAAGCAAATGAAACTCAAGAGCAAAAAAAAGAAACATTCAAGCATAAAAAAAAAAAATCTATATATACATATATAAAATTTAATTTACATCATTAATTAAAGTTTAATTTTTATAATGAGTAAACCTGATCATTGTAGAGTATCAGATAATACCATTATTGAATACTCTGCACCAATAACTGACATATCTGGCAGAGAATTTGATCATAAGATGGCTGGGCCTTGAAGAGGCCCAAACATCTCATGATCAAATTCTCTGCCAGATACTTCACATTATTTGTAGGTATAACAATAATATCATGATCACACAGATTATGATATAATTGTACCACTTATTAAATAACTACAGTTATTGGATGCTAAACATCCAATAACTATACATTATTGGAAATATCATAAAGAACTATTAAATCAGTTTTATGTTAAGTCCATTATGAAATATAATAATAGATCAATTATAATTTGAGTTTGCTTTATTTTTTGTAGTGTCAGCAGCTATTATAAGATTAACAGTATGATGATATGATCTGTATCTTCAAATAATTTATGAAGATTTAATGCAGATGATTGAGAATTACAGATTTTAAGCCAGTAAAATTGGTTTTTAAAAAGATAAAGCATCTTGTTATATAGTAACTTTGATCAACATTAATTTATAAATAAGAAGATAAAGTTTTTCAACTGATTTTCCCAATCAGCTGATCTAAACCTGATCAAACACTTGTGAAATAAAGTTGATTGTCATCTTAGAAACCTCTTTGGTCAAATTTCAAGTAAAAAGGATCTCTAAAAAAAATTTAGATAATTTGACAAACAACCAAAATTAAAATCTATATAAGATTTATTTATTTAATGCCAGAATGAATTTATAATGTAATTAGAGTCCAGCAACTATATTAGATAGTAATAACTAAAATTATTAGAAAAAAAATTTTTTTTTATATAAAAAATAATTTTTTATTTTACAATTATGTTGCTGTTAAAATAACTAAAAATAATATTCATAATTTAAAAAATTTGATTATCAAATTTTTAAATTTTTTTATTAATGATAATATTATCATTTGTAAATAAAATAAAAAAATTTAACAAATAAGCTTGGAATTGCATAAGATAATATGATCTAACTAATTTTTTTTATTGGATTATTTATAATCACTAATATAAAATAAAAAAAATTATTATTTAAGTTATATTTAATAATTTATAATTTTAACTTATTTAAATTTATTTCTAATAATTATAATGAAGAAATAAAGAAATTTTTAATAGAATTATTTTAAAAATTATTTAATAGTAACTATAGTGTGTTTGTAAATATAAAAGTTTTAAAAAAAATTAATAATTATATTAAATTTGTAATTATATTAAAAGTAAATATAATGGTCCTACAGACATTAGTTATAAAATGCTCAAATACATCAGCTCTGAATGCACTTCTGTTATTACTGGTCTTTTTAATTGTTGTCTTCTTGAAAATAGAATTTCTAAACAATGGAAATATAGCAGAATTTATTCTATTTCCAAATATAACTCCTCTTATTGAAGATATTATTTGCAATCATAAGGACATTTGGCTACTTTTACAAAATATGAATAAAGTATATGACTCTGTTAACTTTACTCTTTTTAAACATTTATTTTCTTGTCTGGCACTTTCTTTATTTATTATTAATATTTTTTTTTGATTTCTTGACTAATCACCATAATTAAGTTATTACTAATCTTGGCCTTATTCTCTTATATCCAGTTTACAATAGTATTGACAAGGTAAAACCATTACTTCTTAATTATGGTGCATATATTATGATCCACTTATCTTATATATACATGCACAAATACCTGACTATACCTTACAATCCTTCTAGACTACCAATTTCAAACTTCAAACATTTAATTTATTACAAAAATAATGTTCTGTTTTGGTATATATGAATGATACTCTTTGGGTTGCTTTATTACAAACTGAGTTTTTCAGCATACTATCTATAGTTGAATTATTTTATACTATAGCTAACATTCAAGTTAACCTTTTAAAATCTATTCTGGTTACCAATAATTCTTCATCTTACTAAATTCTTATCTCCTATAATAATTATCATCATCTGCTTCATTCTTCTAAACAACTTTTTAAATTTTTAGTTGCTGGTTCATCTTGAACAATAAGCAATCTAAATAAACAAAATTGCTTATTACTAAATCTTCTTAACTCATTCAAATTGCTAAAACCAAACATATCACTGACTTATATGCTCATTATATTATTAACACAGTTATCATTTTTACTTTTGAATATCATTTTTAAAACATTGTAGTTAGTCAGCCTATCTGCAACAAAATCTTTATTTAGCATATTGGTCTTGTTAAACTTAAAGCTAAACTTTGTTATACAATACTCTTTAATACTCTTTTATATCTCCAAATTTACAACATCAAACACATCTAAGACATCCAACTGCAACATTATATTTCTAATCTTCTTTAATGACTTAATAATTCTGACCTATTAGGCACATTAACTCACATCCAAATTCAATAGTTACAAAACATCCTCTGGTCCCCTACTAATATTCTTTCACATTTTAATTCTATTATTGATGATCCCAACTATTTAACTACAAACTTTAAAATTATTTAGCTTATTAAACATATTGATTAGATATTTTCTACTAACCCAACTTACAGCATTTTATTTACTCTAAATGATGGAACTATCTCTCTTAAATTCCTTCTTTTTTCTTATTCTAAATATTCCATTTTCAAAAAACAACTTAGATATTACAAACTACTCTTTCTTGATCAACTTACTATATATGATAACTTATGTTTACTACACTGGCAACACATTTTTTCTAAATTAAACAAGCTCTTTAAAGATGTTGTATCTCAATTGTTCACTACTCTTAAGACATTATAACAAGCCATTCTCATTAACATACTTTATATGATCACTTTAATCTACCTCAAACAAACTACTTTTCTTATACTACTAGTTACTTTATCTCTAATACCAAATCCTGATTATTTACTGTTCTTAATGACCAAATAATTATACCCCTACAGGCCTTAGCCTTATTATTTATTAGCACTGCTCATATCAGTTCTAGTTTTCAAACCTATATTCTATTCCCTTCTCTACTACTATATTATGTCTCAGATATCATTTTAATTTCAATACAATTGTCTACAAATGCATTATTTTTATTTATACAAACCTGGTTACAAAACTATTCTGCTATATTAATACTAATAAAACTCTTAACCTACATACCAACTTCTTTAATATTGCATACTTTGTAGCTATTTGACATTCTTTATATATTCTACTACCTCTTTTACTAATAATTGTTGCAGATCATAATAAAATCAGATCATTATAAAATTTAAAGGTTTCAATTTAAGCATATAAGTCCTATCAAAATCCACTTATACTCTTTTTCTAATAATCCTAATCCCAAATCCTAACTTAACTATAAAAAAAACCTAACAAAAAAAGACCCCCAAAATTTTTAAAAATCATATATAAAATAAGTTAAATTTCATTAGAATCTGATTTTATTATAATCTGTCATAATAATTAATTCACAACAATTATCTTGCATCTTTTAGTCTAACCAACTTG